ATGTTGCTAGGATTGTGAGCAGTGCTGCTCGCAACCCTAGACTTTGCTCGGATTGCGAGCGCGCTGGTAGTAGTCGTAGGCGTCGCCAGCCACCTTGGGAGCGGAGCTGCTCGTAGTCCTAGAAGATGTAGGATTGCGAGCGTAGGCGCTCACAATCGCACAGAGATGCTAAGATTGCGATGACTGCTGCTCACAATCCTTCGACTTCTAGGGTTGAGAGCGAGGCTGCTCTCAATCCTAGCCGTCTATCTAGAAAAGAAGGTTCACCCTCCGTGCAGGGGTTGGTCCTGCAACGGTGTCTCGTGCGGAGCAGTGGTGTGCTGTCGCGCGAGGGTTGCAGGCGTGAGGGTCGAGGGTACCTTTTCCCCCCTTTGCTATTAACAATGCTTTGGAATCTATGAACATGACCTCGAGTGGAGCGCCCGAGGCAGTTCTCGACAGGCTCTCCGTGCACTCGACCCCGCCCTCGCCGCAGGCAAGCTCATTCACAATCTGCTCTGTCTGCTTCTGCAGCCCCAGCCAATTCTTGGTCCAAGTCACCTCAGAGGTACTGGGCCCGCGTCGCCACGACCGACTTGGAAAGAGAGAAAATGCGCCGGTCTCATTGTGGGAATGATCTCGTCAAACCGCCCGCCTACACCCCTGTAGCCCCTCTGCATCCTTGCAATGCGTGCGAGCACCCAGCAGCAGCGCTGCGTCGCCATTGTCGACCCCATCTCGACCGGAGCCTGTGTGGCCGTGGAGGCGACCAAGCGCGGCTACGCCGTGGTCGCAGTCTGGTCGGCCGTGGTCACAAAAGACCTGCGCAACATGGTGCCGGAGCATGCAAAGGGTCTCCGATACCATGCCCAGGTGGACGAGGGAGAGTCGATCGAGGCGACGACACAGCTGCTCCGCAAGGCCGCGGCGCCGCACAAGGTCGACGCTGTCATTTGCGGCGCAGAGGTGCGCCACGCCACCGCCGCCGCTCGCCCCTCCACGCACCAAGCTGGCATATGTGCATGGCACCACCTCTCACCCCATCCCGCGCGCGCCTCTCGCAGACGGGCGTCGAGCTCGCCGACCGGCTGTCGCAGCGGAGCGGGCTGGCAAGCAACGGCACCGAGCTGGGCAACCGGCGGGACAAACACACGCAGCAGCAGGCCTCCCGCCATACCTGCCTGGCCTACCCTCCTTCCCCTCCATCGTCGCCCGCGGCCCATCCTCCCCATT